TATATATATATATGTATATATATATATATATATATCAGCCTCGAGAATACTTTGTCCCCATTTACACATTAAAATGACTATAGTGAATATTCAGGATTGAAAGTCCAGTATAGTGTTATCCTCCACACTGTCATTTATCTTTCAAAGTAAAACTGTTGATTAAGACTTTAGATTAGTACTTGAGCTGTGTAAGGATTTTGAAAATAAAATGTATTAAAAATAACACAAAGCATTTTAGTGGAAAATTCTCAAATTGCCTCTTGTTCTTTTCCTCTGGATTTTGCAAAGCAAAATGAAGATGCCTCGCATTTAGCTTGGACCTCTTTTCCAGTTAGTTAATCAAACATTATTCATATTGGGGTATAAAATACACAGATAATGGAAATCTAAGTCATAGAGACTGTAGAATGAGCAAACAAAATACGATCCATTCAAATTTGACAGGATAATTTGATAAAAAGGCAGCCCAGTTTCAAGCAAACATACCTTTTATGCTTTAATCTTATAAACACTTTAGTATGGATCAAATTCCACGTTAAAATTCTGGACACAAAAAAATAAAGTTCCAAGTGAAAAAGCTTTCACACTCCTTCAGAAATACAGATTCATCCAGTAGGTTGTATTATAGTCTGATTCCCATTTTCCTTAATATGCTAACTGATGAGCCTATGTCCACCTAACTGGGAGATCGCTTCTGTGTCCTTACTTCCTTAACACTTGACAAACAACAAAGTGATGTTCTTGGTGGCAAAATATCAACAGTGAAAACCAATGATTTTGTATTTTCAGGGGCTGTCACAGAGCAGAACTAACCTTTAATCTTTGCTGTTTTTATATTAAAAACACACAGATGTTATTTAACTACTACATTTTCAGGAAATTCTTCATCATTATTTGCTGACATTCTTAGGTTTCTTTTTAGGAGATACAGACATGTCTTTTAATTGCTTTTACATTAAATTATAACTGTAAAATTACAATTTTACATTAAATTATTACAAGATCAAGTTTTTGTTTCCCTTAGAAATAAAGGTAGTTTTTTATTTCTACATCTTAAATTCTACATCATCTTGGAAATCAAAAGTTAACAAGTCTAAGGTTCTTTGCCCTAAAAACAAAGTGAAGGTGAATTTTTGATAGATATAGGCTGATATAAGTGTACCCTGCTCTCCAAGGGCTTTCAAACTGTAGAGGAAACCAATCCTCTCTTTCTATGTATGTAAAACCTTATATACAAACAGCATAAACGTATGTGACACATTCTCTGGAATATATACTAAGGTGAATGTCTTTCAGGAGACTATATTCCTTAAAACCCCAGAAATACAGCGCTCGCCATTACTCAAACAGTGATGACAAGTAAATGAAATATCAATCATGTAGGCTGTCAACCTTTTGGGACAGCAATAACTGTTAACAAGTAGTCTGGAAAAATTGTCCGAAAATGACTTGTCCTCGGCACACCAGTGTTTGAGGTTTCCATGGAAAATTAAGATGCCAGTGGCTATTTGGAACATTGCTCAGGTATTCTTTTTAATGGGAAATTTGCCGGTTATTGATCCACAGCATGTACCCCCTTGCTTCTGGAAGGCTGCAAGCAACTTTCCAATCAGTGGTTGTCAAAAAAATTACTGCCTTTTTATACTGATACAAGACAACAGCAGTGGTGGTGTTCTCCTATAGTTAATGCTTTTCTTTAATTAACTGCTATGTACAATGGGTTAGTAATTTCAGTTACTACTTCACCACAGTCCTAGAAATCAAAACAAATAAAATATCCTTATGCTTTGTCTAACAAATTAATTATAGCGTTGTCTGAAACTGGTGCTTGGGGTCAAGTTTGAAAACAAATAACCTCAAATGTAAAGGGTCAGAACAGGTGCAATGCATTTTTTTCCTACTATAAAACCTTGCATGCATGAAATTGACCTGTTTTCCAACTTTATTTATTTACTTCACAAAATAAATTTTAAAAAATGGTTTCCCTTTCTTTTCAAACCTGTGCCAAATCAACTGGTAAGCTATATATACTTTGATAATCATTGTAAGAATTTTTTAGCAATCTATAAACATCTCTTTGTATTATAGGATTAACTCAGTCACAGTAATATTAAGTATGCCACTTGCCAGTTTCTCTAAAGCAAGTAGTTAAGAGTTTGTTTTTTGTTTTCTACATTTCTTCCAAACCCAGAGAACATTTTCTCCTGCTGAAATACTGAGTTCGATCTGTGTTTGTATTAACAGAGAATCTGTGTTCCACACAACAAAGTAATTCACCATCAAGGACAAACTATAAAGGAAGGTGATTAAATCCATGGCACAGGCCTCGTCTAGGCAACTGATCTCTGAGGAACAGGCCTGTAGAGGACCAGGGGGCTGCCAACAAGGCACCAGACCTAGGAGCTCAGGCTACTGCTCAAATGGCATTCCCTAAGGGGCATGGATAAAATGCAGAGCCACCCATAGTATCTCCCAGCACAGAGCAGTCCTGATGGGCCACAAGGCCTATGCTACCCAGTGAAATGAGCAATGAACTTGAAGGAGTTAGAGGACTCAAACCCAGAAGTCTCAGTATGGGCCATTTCCTAGCACAGGACCTCAGCGAGGAGACAATGAACCTCAGTTTACTAATCTGTAAAATGAAGATGGCATCTACCTACAGGATTCATTTGGACTTACACGAGCAAATATAAGACAGCACTTAATAAGCTACAGAGCAAGTTGTTTTTAGATCTTGATCCTCTCAATGTTTTTATATATTCTCCCTTTAAAGGGGTTCTTTCCAATGTTGTTCCAAATAATGATAAAATATAAACAATGATGACAAAGACTTCTACTAGACAAAAACAAAATGAAACAAAGGAAAGCCTAAATCTTATATTCCAAGATACTTAACATGGTTCAGACAGAAAAGTAACCATTATAACATTAATGAAATCATAATTTGAAGATATCTAAAGGACTTCCTGAGTTTAGTCTCTATAATCTTACCTTGGCTTTCATTACCCCTAACACAAATCCCTGCACATAGTAGGTGCTTGATAAATATGTATTGCTTGAAATGGGGTCCAATATTGACTCTGCCACTTAATAACTTGTAGTAGCCTTCAGAGAGTCATTTAACTTTGGTGAACTTTAGTTTCCTCCAAATAAGAGTAAAGAAATCTACTCTATGACATATGGTTAGTGTGAGGCTCGAAATTAAACTGCAGCAATAGAATTAGTGAAGGCACTTTGTAAACTGTAACGCATTAATAGTAGTTGAGAAATTAAAAAGTGAACCGCCTAATACTGTAACAATATTAAGCACAGCACTTTCTGAGTAGAAGTGTTCTAGCATTTAAAAATACAGAAGTAGTTATGTATAAAAAGTACAAAATGTTGTGCTCAACCTTATAAAATGTTTTCTGCTGGTATCCCTTGAAGAATCCGTTACATGCAGTAATTGCAGCAATAATCAATAAGCTAACTGAGTAAAAGATTAATCAGGTTTGTGATTGCTAATGGAATCTCCAGTACCAGACTCAGATTAGTTTGAGAGTCCCTCTGAGATGTTCTTCAAAATCCTTAAACAATTTTAATAAGGATGTGACAAAGTTTAGCATAGTTATCCAAAAATCTAATTAATTTGAAACAGAGGGCCAGATTCAACAAGGGGATAGCAAGTACAATTTTGGCTTTGTTTTGTTTGCAAGTTTATCAAACAGTGTTCCTATTTGTTATAAACCTAATTCTAATTCTAACAGCACAATTCAATCAATAATTACATGGAAATCTTCATGGAAATCTGCCATATGAAAACTTGAATTCTAAAACAGCAGTTTAATTTTACAAGGCATAGTTCTCTCTTAAGAGAGAGAGAGAAGAGAAAGGCAAAGAGAGAGCAACACACAACACAGAGAAACGACTATCGCTCATCGAATACCTACTATATTAGACTCAGTACTACATATTTACATTCATTCATTTAATTTGTCACAGCTCTAGCCTATTCTGTGAGTATCATCACCCCTA